TACTTTTTTTAATTATGTTTCTATTTATTTGGATATTAACGTATTTTATATTTATGTTTTTTACTTAATGTTAAATTTATTTATATTATCTCATATATTTAATAGTGTTAAAAACCGATCAATCCGACCGAACCACACCGATCCGATATAAATTGGATTAGTTTGGTTATCATATAATAGTGGATTGGATTGGTTTAAAAATTTTACTAACCGATTAAATTGGATTGGATTAAAAAATGTTAAAATCTGAACCAAACCACACCGTGAACACCCCTAGTTAGTGGAGCCTATAGAGTGTGTAATATGAAGCAATACTAAACGTTAATTGTTAGAATTCTTTTCTATATTTGGCTAACATGTTTTGCATTTATGTGATTCTGTTAACAGGATATGGAGAATCGTCTAAAAGTCAATTTTCATAATCCTATAAATTATGATATGAAAATCTTCATAAAAACGATTTCCAAGATGCTAACATGGCGGCACAAGTCTATTTAAAGCTCCACAAATTGGATGATAGGCATTTTGGGTTGGTCTATCCACCATATTTAGATTGCACAAGTCGTTTAACAGTTCTACCTGCAATGAAAAGGGGACGGAGTTTAGCAGACCGTCTCCAACAAAACCATTTCTCTCTATGATTATTATGGGCATGTGCCATTTCAATTTTCAGAATATTTAAGATCTGTGTTGAGGTGCATAACCTTTAAATTTTATATCAATCATGCATAAATAGTATCATATGATACTAAGTTCTTATTTATTTTGTGAACGGGGACATACTTAAGGCATTGATATCTCTGAAGGAACAGGGACCAAAATGGATCTCCGTGCATTTTCATAACAGATTTCAAAAATAATGCAGGTACATATCTAATTTGTCTGTCACAAAAAGGAAAAAAAAGAAAAACTTTCCGTATCAAATTTTCTTTTCTTAGTACTACATTGCTATTTGTTGTTATTGATTATAATACAGGATCTGATAATGTTAATTATTTGCAAGCCTTGCTAGCAGAAATCAGGCCATATTATGAAAGTTGGCAAAGTTTTAGAGACACATTCATCCAGAGAAAATTCAGTGATAGAACCACTAGGTAATGTTTCTAACATATTAATTTGAACCCAAACTTATGAACTCATAAAAAAAAAAGAGTTATTAACTCAATATTTTTCTTTTTTCTTTTAAAGTATATAACTATAGCATTTCATTAGGGTTTTTTATTTTTTCCTTTTTTTTTTTTTTTCTGAATTAGGTTCCCTAGGTTACTTAGGTTGGTTTAATCAGTTGCAAGAATCAAAAGTGGAAAGAAAAAAAATCTTGATCTAGTTGGTTATCCTTTGTTATTACTAGTAGTATTGTGAGATTTTCTATTCTCTTCACTTTATATATGTTCTTTCATGGAAACACAACAAAGGTCAAACTCTGTCTTTGTGTGTGTGTATGTGTTTTTTTTTTTTTTTTCAAATTAAGAAACTAAAGTTCTGAAAGGATATAATTCTTTTTCATCTTTTTTATTGATTGTGTTTTAGGATTAATCAGGAATTACTCGATGTGTATTTTTGGATCAAGGCTGACAAAATCCTTTTTTGGAAAAATTTGGTAACATATTTTGAGGCTATTCAAATCGCAACACCATGGAACATTGACATTTTTGCAAATTGGAAAAAAAGTTGTAGATGGGGATGATAAATTGAAAATCATGAGAAGAATTTATGATTCAGCCTCACGACGCAGCTCTACATCCTCCTCAACAAACAGAATTGCTGGGTCAAACTGGGAATGCGGCATAAAATTTATCCGAGCATGTATTGTACATTTTAAAAAAACAGCAGCGGAAGCTAAACGTCAGGTAGTCTCTCACTCCTGAATAATTTGCTTTTCAGATGTACAAGCTTATTTTCAAACATATATGTATACATTATAATTTTTTTTTTTAATTTTAATTTTAATTTTTTTGTAGGGTTGAAGACTTTCAATTGAAAATAAGACTGAGATTCTAAGACTCCTTGACTATCACTTTCCTCAACATTTACAGTTAGTGGTTAGGCAAGCAACCAAAAACATCAGTACAACATTAAAACCGTCATTTTTGCCGAGCCAGCCCAGGTACGATCCTCAAGTTTGGAGGTTTATATAACAAATTGAAGTTAACCCTGTCAAATTTTATGTTAGGAGAAGCTAATTAGTGTGCTAATTGGTTACATTGTTTGTGAGGTGTAAAAGTAATTCATAATGATCCCTATATGAGTTTGTTGAACTTATAATAGGTCAAAGCAAGGCTGGATCTATTGTTAGCTTGTTTGCACTGAAAAAGAAAGAATTTAGCTACATTTTTTTTTTTAACTCTCCGTTTTGATGAATTGATAAAGTTGCTGAAATGAAGTATTTGAGTTGCTATTTGGAAAATAGTACCAAGACTCGGTTTTGAATTGCTGTTTGAGTTGTTGTTTGTTTGATGATTTGGTAGAAACCTTGATAAAATGCAAAAATAGCTGATAATTAATAAAATAATTGATATTTATTATTTAACAAATTAAAATCAGTAAATGTAAGAACCCTATTTTCAACCAGAAAATATAAAAAAAATATACAAGAATAAAAATAAAGGAAGGTAAGTAAAATGCATTTTTTTTTTTACAAGATATTCAAATCATTAAAGTAGAAATTTTAAGATCAAAATTGAAGGAATTTGGAAGTTGGAGGGTTTGATGATAAATGAAAAAGTACTTGATTGAAAGAAATTAAAGTTGTAGGCAAAATGTGTGAAGAGATGGGCTTAATAGCAAGATATTAAAGTTTGGAGTCTGGTGTGCAAAGAAGGGCAGGACTTAATTGCAAAGGAGCTAGGCTGCAGGTTCAATTTGGTAGAATTAGAGAGACTTAAGGATGCAAAAAGAAACATCTTAAAAGCAAAAAATGATGCAAAATGAAATGGTTTTTCTAACGTGCTTATGTTGCAATTTATTACACTTCTTATTATTAATTTATCTGAAAAATAAATCTTATTTTTAACAATAATATCATATAAAATAATTTAATGGTATATATATATATATATTATTTTAAATTGTATAATAGAAGACAATTTTCTTTTATTTCTTAATCTATCTTGCGTGGATGTGGTTCATACTCAAGATCTTTTGCTTCTATTTTAAGGTTAAGTCGTTAGCTAATTATATAATTGATAAAATTTAAGTCAACTTTTATTTTTTTTATGAAAATTAATACTAAAAAAAAAAAATAAAGTTTCTTGACATTAAAAATATAAAAATATTTAATAATAATTACATGATAAATTTATTAAAATTAAGATATACATTATACTTGAAGATCATGATGGTAGCAGACCCGGAGTTGGAAGAAGTGAATGAAAGATCCGCAACCGTTTAGGAATAAATGGTTCAGGTGTTTACCGTAGGAACAACAGAGTGGAGAAACCAAGGAGCTACGCCTCCACAATTGGCGGCTGTAATCGAACCACCTGAGGTTCTAGTTGAAGGATCTCTCCATTGGGTGACTGTTGTTGGGATGGGAGGGGTTAGTCATATCTTTGGTATTATCTCCTTCGAGCTTGCTGATGAGGTGTTTGAAGAAATTCCGCACCCACCTTATCAACAACTTGTGTCATATGGCTACAATCTTTCCGTGCTCAATGGGTGTCTATCGGCATTTTGATATCTGGGTGATGAAGCAAAACCGTTTTAAGGAATCTTGGGTAAAACAATTCTCCTTTGCTCCCCCATTCTGCTTTGATCCCAATTATCGTACTGGATGGCTAAGCTCAAGAAGATTTCCCGTAGTTATATGTGCACTGAAGAATGGTGAGATTCTGTTGCAGTATGATGAGAGTTCTTTGGTTTCTTATGATCCGGCAGAAAACAGAGTCAAGACTCTTCAAATGAGTGGGTTACCCAAGGATTTCCTGTCACTTCCTTTTCTACCTTCTCTTTTCTCAGCAAAGGCAACCATGAATTTGCAACTTTAACTCTCTCTCTTGAATCATCCCCTCTTCTGTAAGATTACTGCAACAGGATCATAAGAAACCAGTTGTGTCTCTTTTCTCTTGAATCAATGCATCAGTAACAGTTGTGTTATTTACATCATCATGGATGACCTCTGTTGTATGGGAATGAGACCCACCTGACAATTATCTGCCTTTTTCTCGAGAAGCAGTTCTTTAGAACAAGGAGATTATGTTGGACTGGAAAAAGTCCCATAATGCTCCTCTTGGAATGGTGATTAAAGATTTTGCTTCGAGCTGGGTGAGAAGATTCATAGGAGTTTTATATGTCCTGAAGAACGGGAAGATTGTGTTGGAGTGTAACACAATCAAAATTTAATAAATCTGCCCTCATCATCAGTTCCGTTGCAAGCGCCGAGGCGGCTGAAGCCCTGGTTACTGGCATGGCAACTTGTTAAGAAAATTAATTAATTCAGCTTTCATTAAAATAATTAATGAATTAGTGCCGTATTTTGGGGATGTGTAACGATAACATGCTTCATTGTCACTCCACGCCTTTACGGTGACACGTTTTGGTGGGTTTAGGACTTTTGTTTTGCCCCTTTTCTAAGTAAACAAAAACTTCCTCTAATGGATTATTAGGTGGCATTGGTTTAGGCTTTTGGAGTATTTTTTACTCTTTCTTTCGCCTTTCTGGTTTTCTCTGGCATCTCTAGTTTCGCCTGACACGAAATGGAATTGACAATGTGCTGGAACCATTTTCTTTAACCTCAACCCATCTTCTTCTTCCTCTCCTTCCAAGTTCCAACATTAATGGCTACGAAAAACCGCATGGAGGAACTAAAGAACCACTAATTTGAAATGGTTATCTGTCGTGTCAAGTTTCTTGGAGAGGAATCAAGCTATTGTTGTGCCAATCTTCCTTATCTTAATAGCGAAATTATTGTTACACATTTAATTTAATATATTTTTTAACATTTATTTTAGTTTAGTTATTAAAATATAATATAAATATAATTAATTTAATTAATTTGTACATTTTATATGTATGTATGATTATATTTTTAAATTTATTTACATTTAATTTTAAATTAAAAAATAATAATTTTTTAATAAATATGTTTTATAATATGTAAATTGAAATGTATATTAATTATTATCTATCTTAATAAAGAAGCAAATACGTCATTGATTTTTTTTTAAAGCCAAATCAATATGTCATTGAATTTCAATATAGTAGTATAGCATATTTTACCTACTCCTATCTAATTCTACACTTACAATCTTATTTTATCAATTTTCAATCAAATTCTCCAAACGTGCCCTTTGCGACTTGTTTGGTTGAAGAAATAATCATATTATTGATTGGCTACAAATAGAGTAGACTAAATTTATTAACGTATTATTTCTTCTCACTTCACGTGTTCTCTTGATTCCATGGAGTGGAAAAACCTAAAGGATCATCCTTGCCCTTGAATCCCTTCCTGGTGCTTATCCAATAAGGAGAGTACCGCAGTCAGTAGAAGGACGACTTTGAAAAAATTTTTTTTTTTCAATGTAGTGGGACGACTTTAATAGGGCGAATTTGAACATAGAAGGTTACCACTAAGGATCGTAACAAGACCTATGGGGTTGAGAAGGGCCTATTCCATGGACTGTACGGATGAGGAGCTTCTGTGATTTTGGATGGGCCTGTCCCCTTTACCATCCACAAATGAGTCCCCGCAAGATTTCCTGCCCCAAGCAATCTATATTTCAAAATTAATTTAATTATTCTTATTTTATTAATGTAAAACAAAATGTTTTAAAAGTTTGGTTAACGCCAAAACATTGTATTGAGTTAATTACTTTAATATCTATCTATAATTGAATATAAGTAATGTGTATAACAGATAATTATAAATTAAATTCTTAAATTAGATTAAATTCAATTAACTTTTTATTATTTAATTCTTCATGAAAAACAGGTGTCCAGAGAACCCTGCAAAATTTTGTGGAAAGAAAATGTCCCTATCACAGCATGCAGGGATGGGGAAATTTCCACCCCTGGCTAAATTAATCAATTCCTTAGTAAGAGGATAGAAACGAACAAAATTACAAAGTAAAGGGACGTCAATCGGCTTTAACCCAATAAAGTTTCAATCTTTGACCTAGGCTTCTACGCTGAATATAAGACGCCGGCGACGTTTCCTTTCTCTCTGCATAAACATGGACCCAGAAGAGGGAAGAGAGAAGGCAGAAGTCACCCTTGAAGATGATCCTTCCAACAAAACGATGGTCCAGATAGATCTTCTTCCACAGGAGATTCTGCTCGACATTCTATCAAGACTCCCGATCACCTCTCTGATCTACTTCAAGATCACTTCCCATGCCGGCTATAATTTAATCGCCGATCCAAGACTCCCTCCGATGTTCCGCAATCGGATAAGCGACTCAAACCCGTGTCTGATTCTGTTCAACTACAATTCCCCTGTGTCCCGGCAACTCTATTTTTTGGATAGTAAAGGTTGTGGTAGAAGGGTTAGGAAAATCGGCGCACCACAGCATTCAAGAGTTTCTAATCTGGTGGGTTCTTGTAATGGGCTGTTATGCGTATCCTATCCTACAGTCGGTGGTTCATTTGCGACTCACAGTCTGCTAATTTACAATCCTTTTGTTAGAGACGCTGTGAGAGTCCCACCAGCGAACCGATTTCTGAATCAAAGTGAAGTCTTTGGATTTGGGTTTCATCCAAGGACAGGAGAATTCAAAGTGGTCAGGATTGTGTACTATGAGAAGATCATGACGGTAGCATCCCTGGCGGCAGATGTGGAAGTAGTGGATGAAGGATTCGCCCCCGTTTATGAATCAATGATTCAGGTGTTTACCGTAGGAACAACGGAGTGGAGAAAAAAAGGAGCTCCGCCTCCACAGTTCACGGTTGGACCACCTGAGGCCCTAGTGGAAGGATCTCTCCATTGGGTGGTTGTTGTTGAGATGGGAGGAGGCGGTCCTATGTTTGGTATTCTTTCCTTCGACCTTGCAGATGAGGTGTTCGAGGAAATTCCGCACCCACCTTGTCAACGACTTATGTCACATGGATACAGTCTTTCCGTGCTCAATGAGTGTCTATCGGCTGTTGGATTAGTTGAAACTGGGCATTTTGATATCTGGGTGATGAAGCAACACCATGTCAAGGAATCTTGGGTAAAACAATTCTCCTTTGATCCCTATTTACCTCGTGGATGGCCAATTAATACTTCATGCTCAGTTAGCAGACTTCCGAAAATCATTTGTGCACTGAAGAATGGTGAGATTCTGCTGCAGTATAACAACAGGTCTCTGGTTTCTCATGATCCTGTAGAAAACAGATTCACGACTCTTCAAATAAGTGGGTTACCCGATCAGTTCCAGGCCCTTCCTTTTCTACCATCTCTTTTCTCAGCAAAAGCAACCATGAATTTGCAATTTTAACTTCCCTTTGTATGTCAGACTATACTACTAGTTGTTTTAGTTTCTGTTGAATCTTTGATCATCAATCAATCAGATGATAATGTCTATCTTCTAGTCAAATGCTTTCTTTTATTGGTTAAGTTTTATGATCAAACCCAAGCCAGGAAAATCTGACCTCTACCATGCCTCCTGTGGTGTAATGAGTTAATCAAAATTCAATGCATCAGTGACAGCACTGAGGTTGTAG